TGGAGCGGGAGACATTTTGGCCTAAATTTATAACCAACTTTGAGTTTACTATATATTTTTTATAGCTGAAAGTAAAAAAATATTGTTTTTCTTCAAAATTTTTGGCCTTTTTTTGTTTATAGCGTGAAAAATAAAAAGCGCACGGGTGATCAAATACCACCGAAAGAAAGCTCTATTTGTGTGAAAAAAAGGACGTAAATTTCGTTTGGGTGCAGCGTTGCATGACCGCGCAATTATCAGTTGAATTAGTGCAGCGCCGAGTAGCAAAAAGAGGCGTGGTCATTAAGGGGGGGGTAAATCCTCTGGAGCTCAAGTGGTTAAAAAAAAGTGGGTGCACTGAAGGACTCGGTGATATGACCAGAGGGTGGATTCGGTGGGATGGCCCTGGGGAACGTTGGTGGTTGGCCCTGCGGTGGCCCAGGCCTAAAGCTGAGTATACCCGTATACCCAAAACATTGGTTTCCACAGAATTTCCCTGAGACCTTGAAATGATTTTCATGGTTCCTCGGGGGGGGGGGGGGGGGGGGGGGAGCTGCTTTAGAACCTTACACTATTCCATATTTTGGTCCTGACTGGTCTTCAGTTAAAAGCTCATTTCAGATTAAAAACAGCCAGAGACGTTGAACCAATCGGGAATTTAGTGTGAAGGGCAAACAATTATCCTCTGCCCCCCAATTATCCTCTGCCCCCCAATTATCCTCTGCCCCCCAATTATCCTCTGCCCCCCGAGCTCGACCACATAAAAAAATAATGCGATGATAATTTGGAAATTACTGAGCATTTGTCCTTTTCCCCTTCATGCTGGATTGATTTTCTGGTCCTGAAAGCCTACTTCTACTGTCGGTGGTGCTGAGGACAGGTACACTCCCCGGCCTCTTTATTAGGTCCGCCTCTTCAATGGCTCTGTAACACAAATTGCTAATCAGCCAATCACGCGGCAGCAACTCGATGCATTTAGGCATCTAGACGTGGTGATGGCGACTTGCTGAAGTTCAAATCGAACATCAGATTGGGGAAGAAAGGGGATTTAAGTGGCTTTGACCGTGTCACGGGCTGGTTTGAGTATTTCAAAAGCTGCTGATCTCCTGGGATTTTCCCGCACAACCATCTCTAGGGATTACAGAGAATGGTCCGAAAAAGAGAAAATATCCAGTGAGTGGCAGTTGTGTGTGGAGGAAAATAACTTGTTGGTGTCGGAGGTCAGAGGAGAATGGGCAGACTGGTTGGAGATGATAGAAAGGTAACAGGAACTCCAATAACCCCTCGTTACTCCCAAGGTATGGAGAATACCATCTCTGAATGCAGAACACGTCCAACCTTGAAGCAGATGGGCTACAGCAGCAGAAGACCACACCGGGGGCCACTCCTGTCAGCTAAGAATAGGAAACGGAGGCTACAGTTCGCACAGGATCACCAAAATTGGCCAATAGAAGATTGGAAGAACGTTGCCGGGTCTGATGAGTCTGTATTTCAGCTGCGACATTCAGATGGTGGGGTCAGAATTTGGTGTGAAGAACATGAAAGCATGGATCCATCCTGCCTTGTATCCACGGTTCAGGCTGGTGGTGGTGTCATGGTGTGGGGGATCCATCCTGCCTTGTATCAATAGTTCAGGCTGGTGGTGGTGTCATGGTGTGGTGGATCCATCCTGCCTTGTATCAATGGTTCAGGCTGGTGGTGGTGTCATGGTGTGGGGGATCCATCCTGCCTTGTATCAACAGTTCAGGCTGGTGGTGGTGGTGTCATGGTGTGGTGGATCCATCCTGCCTTGTATCAATGGTTCAGGCTGGTGGTGGTGGTGTCATGGTGTGATGGATCCATCCTGCCTTGTATCAACGGTTCAGGCTGGTGGTGGTGTCATGGTGTGGTGGATCCATCCTGCCTTGTATGAATGGTTCAGGGTGGTGGTGGTGGGTATCATGGTGTGGTGGATCCATCCTGCCTTGTATCAATGGTTCAGGCTGGTGGTGGTGTCATGGTGTGGTGGATCCATCCTGCCTTGTATCAATGGTTCAGGCTGGTGGTGGTGGTGTCATGGTGTGGTGGATCCATCCTGCCTTGTATCAATGGTTCAGGCTGGTGTCGGTGGTGTCATGGTGTGGTGGATTCATCCTGCCTTGTATCAGTGGTTCAGGGTGGTGGTGGTGGTGTCATGGTGTGGTGGATCCATTCTGCCTTGTATCAATGGTTCAGGCTGGTGGTGTCATGGTGTGGGGGATCCATCCTACCTTGTATCAATGGTTCAGGCTGGTGGTGGTGGTGTCATGGTGTGGTGGATCCATCCTGCCTTGTATCAATGGTTCAGGCTGGTGGTGTCATGGTGTGGGGGATCCATCCTGCCTTGTATCAATGGTTCAGGCTGGTGGTGGTGTCATGGTGTGGTGGATCCATCCTACCATTTTTTGGGGAGTTTTTCTGCCATTTCTCAGGCGCATGCAATTTTAAGGCTCATCTTGTTGGATATCTATTCACTCTTTTAAAATTTTTACAAAACTTTGGTAATCTATTGTGTTTGTACGCACCAAAAAGTCATTTTATAGTTTTTTTGTCTCTTTCAAAAAAATATGCATTTGATAAAAGTTTGTGCGAATATTGCGCAATATAAAAAAAAAATGCAACTGCCACCATTGTATTCTCCAAGGCCTCTGCTTGTAGAAAATGTATAATTGTTTGTAATCTTTTCGCAGAAAATGCTGATCTGTAACGTGTGTGTGAAAGCTATATATACAGTTGTGTTGAAAATACTAGCCGTCAGACATCACTAACCGAATCAGTCACTGTTTTTGGTGGAAATGATATTTCTACATGGCAGATAATTTCCTAGCAGGTGTAGTAGAGTCATAGAAATCCAACAGACCCGACAGTCATGACATGCATGCTGCTGATTCTGTGTCATTGAATCACTCATTGAAAGGGGCGTGTTCACAATAATAGCCGTGTGGAGTTCTATTAGTGACGTCATTCATTCTTTGATAAACAGGTGGCAATTATTGCCCTTATTTAAGGAAGGAAGGCAGCAAATGTTGGACATGCTGGTTACAGTGCATTTCTCTCTGAAATTCTGAGGAAAATGGGTTGTCCAGACATTGTTCAGAAGAACAGCGTACCTTGATTAAAAAGTTGATTGGAGGGGAAAACATATAAAGAAGTGCAGAAAATGATCGGCTGCTCAGCTAAAATGATGGCAAATGCTTTAAAATGGCAACCAAAACCTGAAAGACGAGGAAGAAAGCGAAAAAACTACCATTGGAATGGATAGAAGAATAGCCAAAATGGGGCGGACTCAGCCAACAATCAGCTCCAGGAAGATGAAAGAAGGTGTGACGTTCCCTGTGAGGACTCAGCCAACAATCAGCTCCAGGAAGATGAAAGAAGGTGTGACGTTCCCTGTGAGGACTCAGCCAACAATCAGCTCCAGGAAGATGAAAAAAGTTGTGACGTTCCCTGTGAGGACTGTTACAATTAGAAGACGCCGATGTGAAGCCAAGCTATCTGCAAGAAGTCCCCGCAAAGTCCCACTGTTGGAAAAAAGACGTGTGCTGAAGAGGTTACAATCTGCCAAAGAGCACATTGACTGGCCTAAAGAGAAATGGCGCAACATTTTGTGGACTGATGAAAGTAAGATTGTTCTTTTTGGGTGTAGTGGGCGGAGATAGTTTGTCAGACGACCCCCAAACACTGAATTCAAGCCACAGTACACTGTGAAGACCGTGAAGCATGGTGGTGCAAGCATCATGATATGGGGATGTTTCTCATACTACGGTGTTGGGCCTATTTATCGCATACCAGGGATCATGGATCAGTTTGAATCCATCAGAATACTTGAAGAGGTCATGGTGCCTTATGCTGAAGAGGAAATGCCCTTGAAATGGGGGTTCCAACAAGACAACGACCCCAAACACACCAGTAAACGTGCAACATCTTGGTTCCAGACCAACAAGATGGACGTTATGGAGTGGCCAGCCCAATCCCCGGATCTTCATCCAATAGAAAACTTGTGGGGTGACATCAAAAATGCCGTTTCTGAGGCCAAACCAAGAAATAGAGAAGAACTGTGGAATGTCGTCCAATCATCCTGGGCTGGAATACCTGATCACAGGGGCCAGAAGTTGGGGGACTCCATGCAACACAGATGTACAGCAGTTCTCAGAAACAGTGCGACTACAACCAAATATTCATGAAGTCATTCAAAGGAAAGCAAAATCTTCAAACATTTCTCAGTTTATATAGTGAATGTTGGAGTTTGTAAAGAAGAATACAAACACGGCCATTTTTTTGAACCGTCTAATATTCACTTTTCTTCCATTTTTTTAGAGGAACAACACAAATTTGATGTATTTTTCTTCATGTTGTGATTTGGAATAGAATGTGTCGTGTTCCCAATGCATTTGTGTGGATGGAAATAAAAGGATTAGAAGGATTTGCAGCTTTAGTCACTGTTTTCATCACACTGCTATTATTTGGAACACAACTGTACATTAGTACTGAAGTATACACTTGGCTTTTCCGTGAGAATATATAGAATGAATAATAAAATGATGGAAGCTTTAACAAACATGCTTGTAAAGACGTATTTCTGTACCTAGAAGTCCCATGTTTTTATGGTTCAATTTTCATGTAAGTATTGTCCCAAGGATTATGGTGCACCCCCAATTGGGGCGCTCTCATGATGTCTATATATGTTTGAGATCAAGTGCAACAGCTGTCAGTCCCTCTTCCTCCCCCTGGCCTCCGCTCAGTAAATAACACCCGTCTCTGCCAGTCCCACCACTGCCCTCTATTCAGAGTCTACCTTCCCTCTCTGTCAACCCCTCCACTGGCCTCTGCTCAGTGTCCTCCACCCCTCTCTGCCAGTCTTTCCGCTGGCCGCCATTTAGTGTCCTCCACTCTCTTTGCCAATCCCTCCGCTGGCTTTATTTCAGTGTCCTCCACCCCTGTCTGTCAATCCCTCCACAGGTCTCCATTCAGTGTCCTCCATTCCTCTCTGCCAATCCTTCCACTAGCCTCCATTCAGTGTCTTCCACCCCTCTATGCAATCCCTCCACTGGCTTCTGCTCAGTGTCCTCCACCCCTCTCTGCCAATCCCTCCACTGACCTCCACTCAGTGTCCTCCACCCCTCTCTGCCAATCCCTCCAATGGCTTCCATTTGGTATCCTCCACTCCTCCCTGCCAATCCCTCCACTGGCCTCCATTCAGTGTCCTCCACCCCCCTATGCCAGTCCCATCACTGGCCTCCACTCAGTGTCCACCTTCCCTCTCTGCCAACCCCACCACTGGCCTCTGCTCAGTGTCCTCCACCCCCCTATGCCAGTCCCATCAATGGCCTCCACTCATTGTCCGCCGTCCCTCTCTGCCAACCCCACTATTGGTGTCAGGAATGGGCTCAGCACAGGTGGTGCTGGGGCTCACCTGCCTTGTGAGCTGCAGTACCAGTGCTGGCCAGCAGGTGCTCTCAGCAGCCAGAATCTCACTCCTGCAATCAAGCCATCACATGAGGCTGATTGCAGGAGGTGTATTTAAGCAATGGCCAGGCCTGTAGTCAGTGCCTTGGTGTTTGTTCCCATGAGCCCCTGTGCCTGATTCCTGCCTGATCCTGACTCTGCTAGAACTCTGCCTGCACTGACCCCGGCTATTCCTGACCACTCTCCTGCCTGCTCCTTGTACCTTGTCTGCCCGATAGTTACCGACCCGGCCTGCCTGACTACGTTTGTGTTTCTGCACATATTGTGATCTGTTGGAGGTTTGGTTTTTGCACTGTGTGTACTGTATTGTGCACTGTATTGCCTTTAACCCCTTGCCTACCAGACACTTATACCCCCTTATTTACCAGGCCAATTTTCAGCTTTCAGAGCTGCCGCACTTTGATTGACAATTGCGCGGTCATGCAACATTGTACCCATATGAAATTTTGATCATTTTTTCCTCACAAATAGAGATTTCTTTTGGTGGTATTTACTCCCCGCTGGGCGCTTTACTTTTTGCGCTATAAATAAAAAAGTGCAAAAAATGTGAAAAAAAAAAAAAGTTTCTTTGTTTCTATTATAAAATTTTTCAAACAGGTATATTTTCTCCTTCACTGATGTGCGTTGATAAGGCAGCACTAATGGGCACTGATAGGCGGCACTGATGGGCACTGATAGGCAGCACTAAAGGGCACTGATAGGCAGTACTAATGAGATGGCACTGATAGACAGCACTGATGAGGTGTCACGGATAGGCGGCACTAATAGGCGGCACTGATAGGTGACACTGATGATGGGTACTGATAGACGGCACTGACTGGCATCACTGCTGGGCACTGACTGGCACAACCCCTGGGCACTGACTGGTGGCACTGACTGGCAGCACTGCTGGGCTGCACTGGTGGATGGGCACAGGTGGGTGGCACTGGTGGGCACAGGTGGGTGGGCACAGGTGGGTGGCACTGCTGGGCACATGTAGGTGGCACTTCTGGGCACAGGTAGGTGGCACTGCAGAGTGGCACAGGTGGGTGCACTGCTGGGCATGGGTGGGCGGAGCTAGTGGGCGCACTGCTGGGCGGAACTTGCGTGTGGCACTGCTGGGCACCGATCATCAGGGCACTGATCATCAGTGCCCTGATGATCGGTGCCGATCCCCACTCTGACAACTGACGGTTCTCGGCAGTACTTTCCTCACGATCTGACAGTGTGAGGAAAGTGCAGCCAAGAACCGGCACTTGCATTTCCCTCTGATCAGCGTGTCATTGGACACCGCTGATCAGGTGGTAAAAGGCCGCTGTGATTGGCCTTTTACCACATCACGTGATCAGCTGTGTCCGTAGGACACAGCGATCACGGAGATCGCCGGGTGCGCACCCCCTGGGGCGCGCAGGAGAGCGCGTTCTGGGAGGACGTCATATGACGTCCACTCAGAACTGGCCGGCCGCAGTGAAGCCGTCATTCGGCTATGCGCGGTCGGCAAGAGGTTAATAAATTATATTGTTTTACACCATACTTGAAGCCTGCGTTTCCCTGCGTCAGTCACACACCTCTGGTCATACCTGGATCCCTGACATTACACCAAGGCCAATCCTGACCAGAAGTGGCTGCACAGGGAAGCCATCTTGGCTTGTTGGGGAAGGATGCATCCTGAGGAGGTTGTGTACTTGTGTCTGCTAGTCTTAGAAGACAGAGAAAATGGCAATCAGACTCTGAAGGAGTATACCAGGGATCAGCTGCTAGAATGCATAGGGGTCGCTCATTGAAGAGCTGAAGGAGGGCTGGAGGAGAGCTGAAGGAGGGCTGGAGGAGAAATGGAGGAGGGTGGAGGAGAGCTGAATGGGGGCTGGGGGAGAGCTGAAGGAGGGCTGGAGGAGGGTGGAGGAGAGCTAAATGGGGGCTGGGGGAGAGCTGGAGGAACGTGGAGGAGAACTGGAGAAGAGCTGAAGGAGTGCTGGAAAAAGGGCTGAGATGGGTGGAGATGGTCAGAGGCTGGAAGGTGTTTTTCTTTACCGCACAGGCATGGCCATGCCGTGCCCCTACTGCGCATGCACTTCACAAAAATTAGGCTGTTTTATTACAGCTTTTCTGCAGGCGTCCATATTAAATGTGGGCACGTGAAGCCACCGCCACTCTTTTTCTGGGTGTTCTGCATGCTGCCTCGCCCTGATGAAAAGCTCACACATGTACGTGAAGTCCACATCTTGGCCGCGCCCACACACGAAGAATTACACTTCCAGTCCTTCATGTACATGTTGCTATAGCTGTGGCAGCCAATGTTTCCTGCCCCTCCCAGCCCTCTTGTATTGCATTGTATTGTCTCCCTCCATTATATAAAGTGCTGCGTAAACTCTTGAAACTGTATAAATCCGCAACAATAATAATATGTTAATGTCATAAAATCGAGTATAGACATAATAAAAAGAAATGACTGATTGTTCTTCTACATAGAGGACTCCCTGAGCGGTGAATTAACCCTTCTCTATCCTGTCTCCTCTCAGGTGCTGGGACCTCAGTGCAGGGAATTTAAAATGGATCATACAAGGTCCGATCTTGGCTGCTACAGTGGTAAGTGATCCCTGGTGGAGTTCCATCCTAAAGCTGAACTGTCATCAGATATTTGTTTTAATGCTCAGTACATGCAGGAGAAACAACAGCGTGACGCGGGAATTGGTGGATTGTAGAAGCACCACCTTATTGTAACGAGTAGATTTATATCCAAAAAGCTCCACTCCAGTCCCAGAGGCAGCGAGTGATGGAAGGCAATGTCAAGCAACAGTGCAGTTTGCCTCGAGGAAGCTACTGTGGTCAAGAGAAGACCTGCCAGATGGATGGATGGCCATCAGCATCTATGGCGGCTTCAACCCCTTTGTCAAGCAAGCCTGGGGGAAGGAACTTTCGACTTTATAGTCCTCATTCACAGAGGACATTTGGCCTGCCAGAGGGATGGATGTCTGGCAGTGTCTATGGCGGCTTCAACCCCTTTGTCAAGCAAGCCTGGGGGAAGGAACTTTCAACATCATAGTCCTCATGCACAGAGGACATTTGGCCTGCCAGAGGGATGGATGTCCGGCAGTGTCTATGGCGGTATCTTGTGTCACTAATAGAAGACCGAGTGGCATAAGATTAGTGGGCAGACTGCTACGCATTTTAGGGGCTCCACCCCTTTGTCAAGCAAGCCCAGGAACAAGAACTTTTGGCTTGATAGGCCTCATGCGCACAGGACGTTTGGCCTGCCAGAAGGATGGATGTCCGTCAGCGTCTATGGCTGTATCTTGTGTCACTAATAGAAGACCGAGTGGCATAAGATTAGTGGGCAGACTGCTACGCATTTTAGGGGCTCCACCCCTTTGTCAAGCAAACCCAGGAACAAGAACTTTCGGCTTTATAGGCCTCATGCACACAGGATGTTTGGTCCACCAGAGGGTTAGATGGCCATCAGCATCTATGGCGGCTCCAACCCCTTTGTCAAGCAAGTCTGGGGGGAAGGAACGTTCGACATCATAGTCCTCATGCACAGAGGACATTTGGCCCACCAGAGGGATAGATATCCAGTAGTGTCTATGGCTGTATCTTATGCCACCAACAGGAGACCGAGCGGCATCAGATTGGTGGGCAGGCTGCTACGCATTTCAGGGGCACCACCCCCTTTGTCAAGCAAGCCCAGGAACAAGAACTTTCGGCTTTATAGGCCTCATGCACACAGGACGTTTGGCCCGCCAGAGGGATGGATGTTTGACAGTGTCTATGGCTGTATCTGGTGTCACTAATAAAAGGCCGAGTGGCATCAGATTAATGGGCAGGCCTCTTCGCATTTTAGGAGCTCCACCCCCTTTCTCAAGCAAGCCAAGGGGCAAGAACGTTTGGATTTATAAAAAAGAGTGGTCAGGTCCAGGCAGAGGTCATGGACTGGCAGCAAGCAAGAGAGTAGTCAGGTCCAGGCAGAGGTCATGGACTGGCAGCAAGCAAGAGAGTAGTCAGGTCCAGGCAGAGGTCATGGACTGGCAGCAAGCAAGAGAGTAGTCAGGTCTAGGCAGAGGTCATGGGCAGGCAGCAGGTAAGAGAGTAGTCAGGTCCAGGCAGAGGTCATGGACTGGCAGCAAGCAAGAGAGTAGTCAGGTCTAGGCAGAGGTCATGGACTGGCAGCAAGCAAGAGAGTAGTCAGGTCCAGGCAGAGGTCATGGACTGGCAGCAAGCAAGAGAGTAGTCAGGTCCAGGCAGAGGTCATGGACTGGCAGCAAGCAAGAGAGTAGTCAGGTCCGGGTAGAGGTCATGGACTGGCAGCAAGCAAGAGAGTAGTCAGGTCCAGGCAGAGGTCATGGACTGGCAGCAGGTAAGAGAGTAGTCAGGTCCAGGCAGAGGTCATGGACTGGCAGCAAGCAAGAGAGTAGTCAGGTCTAGGCAGAGGTCATGGACTGGCAGCAAGCAAGAGAGTAGTCAGGTCCAGGCAGAGGTCATGGACTGGCAGCAAGCAAGAGAGTAGTCAGGTCCAGGCAGAGGTCATGGACTGGCAGCAAGCAAGAGAGTAGTCCAGTCCGGGCAGAGGTCATGGACTGGCAGCAAGCAAGAGAGTAGTCAGGTCCAGGCAGAGGTCATGGACTGGCAGCAAGCAAGAGAGTAGTCAGGTCTAGGCAGAGGTCATGGACTGGCACCAAGCAAGAGAGTAGTCAGGTCCAGGCAGAGGTCATGGACTGGCAGCAAGCAAGAGAGTAGTCAGGTCTAGGCAGAGGTCATGGACTGGCAGCAAGCAAGAGAGTAGTCAGGTCTAGGCAGAGGTCATGGGCAGGCAGCAGGTAAGAAAGTAGTCAGGTTGAAGCAGAGGTCATGGACTGGCAGCAAGCAAGAGAGTAGTCAGGTCCAGGCAGAGGTCATAGACTGGCAGCAAACAAGAGAGTAGTCAGGTCCAGGCAGAGG